CCATCCGACAGGCTCCAGGAGTTTCCGTGGGGGTCCCAAAACCGGGACGAGGCGAAACCGTAGCTGTTCGTCGGCTTCTGCTGGGGGGAGGGGAACGACCGAACGAATCTGTCCTGCTTTGAATTGTATCCGCTTCCTAGTTTAATTTGGGGCCGGGTTGTTTTTGGGAAACACTACCTAAACGTCTGTGAAGTGATTGACATTCTAGCTTGCCTCGGTGGAAGGACCTGACGATGCTAGTTGGAAGTTTAGCCCGCCTACCAGGCTTGTTTTTACTAATACCATGATGTACTAAATTAGATTTGTTCTGGAGATAGATAAAACTAGATACGGTGTATTATAAATTGTAATGCTCACATGGAAAACTAATAAAAACCCTGAATCTATTATTTGCCTGATCTTGATTTTTAGAATATAGGTACTACTGAGCAAGAAAACCCTGTTACGACAAGCATGCACGCTGGGTGTACAGATACAGAGGTATAGATCAGTGGTGCTTGGGTCTGTAGGAGGAGAGATGGATTTGTCTAAGTGTGCAAATGGAGAAGCGTTGCGAATCCAGGTTGCTTTTGCAGAGGTTTTGCAGCAGTAGATGGTTTTGCCCTGCCTGCTGTTGTTCATTGCCAAGTAACCCTTCTACTAAATGAGTAAGAACCAATACATAAAATCTTAGAGCCCCTTCCCAATTTCACTTGAACAAGGGCAGGGGGAGAATTGGTTTAGTGCTTGAAAATTTAAGCCAAATATGCATTTTTTTTTCAGGTTGCTTTTGCAGAGGTTTTGCAGCAGTAGATGGTTTTGCCCTGCCTGCTGTTGTTCATTGCCAAGTAACCCTTCTACTAAATGAGTAAGAACCAATACATAAAATCTTAGAGCCCCTTCCCAATTTCACTTGAACAAGGGCAGGGGGAGAATTGGTTTAGTGCTTGAAAATTTAAGCCAAATATGCATTTTTTTTTTTTTTTAAAAAAAACCCTCTTAAAAAGGACCAACTTTCCACAGGTTCTTTGCCACCCAGAAAAGCTTGGGAGTGCAGTTCTAATGACTCAATTCTGAGCCAAGAAAAAACAGATCAAGAGCTGTAACAAATTCAACAGACCATATAACAGCGGAGGGCAAAACATTCTCCCAGTTAATATTTTCCATCTTATGGATTCTAGGAATACATAAAACTAAGTAGGGAATTAAAAAAAGTGAACTGCAGCAAGCTGCCTGAACTCTCATAAAGACAAATTAGGAAAATATTCCTGCCTTCAGCATCCTTAAATATTGCTGCTCTCACGTCAGCCTCACTACCCCATAACCCATAGCTGTAACTCCTGCTGTTTGTGCTCTTGTCATACCTAACACCTCAGGTGTTCATCACACCGTTCAACGTGTGCCTGTTTTGGAACAAACTGCTTCCTGAAATAATAGCATTTGCCACGGAAACTAGGTGGGTTGTTTTTTTTTTTTCCATGTAAAACACTAAGAAAAACACTTGATTAAAAAATATTTTATTAGGAGTACAGTGTACCTGCAATGTACTTTATAAGGCATTTTCTATAAATGACTATTTCTACTATATATATATCTGGGTGTTCCTGTTCATGTTTTTTTCAATACATTAGTAATGTAATGAATAACACCTTTTAAAAAAACTACATCTCTTTATTTAGTTCATAAATGTTCAAGCAGTACAACAAGTAGCTTTGGGAGAGGTTTTAATCAAAATTACTGTAAAGCAGTTTTAAAATTCAGTTGTCACTATTTCCCCTTTGTCCCCAATGAACAATGTTTTAAACCGCTTTTTTTTTTTTTTAAATAAAATCAACCTGATTATGCTGGTAGTAGCTTTTTTTTTTTTCTTCCCACATTTCATTTACCTTTCCAAGGCCCCCTGCGCTGTACGTACGTTTGGCTTTTGAACCAGTAAATCTCAGCCTCTGAAAACTACATTTTCATGAAAAGCCACAGCAGCGGAGGCGAGTTGCTCTTTTTTTTTTTAAAAAAATTCCACGTACGTATGTACCTGTCTGCTTTCGCTGGAGGAAACCAAACCCACCGACCAAGCACTGCCGAGCTCAGGGGCGGTGGCTCTGCCTCCCTAGCGACAGGCTGAACGTGCTTTTGCTGGAGCTGAAGCTTTTGAAAACAAACATGGGAAAAAAAACCACGCTAACCTGGTCATTTAAAGCTGCACGTATAGCAACCTACCTCAGCGTTTTGGCAGGAGTATAAACTGTACGCGTAAGGAGAAAGCGCTTCAAGTTTACTGGTTGCAGGATATTAAAAATTGTAGGGTCTCTTCTATAATTTACGACTGGGGAGACATTACAGATCTATCTGGACAGGTAGCTTATGGCACTTAGGTTATAAGAAGACCAGTGAATATTTAAAAACCAACGCACATTGCATTCCATGACCAACTCTGCCATAACTGTGCCTTAAACATTTATTACAACATTGTGATAAATAATATACACACCGTATCTTTTAAAATACCGTATAAACCATACCTCAAGAATAGGGAGCCAGCTTCCCTATACATTATCCTACAACACGTCCCTAGCCTGTTTGGGCTTTTTTTTTTTTTTTTTTTTTTTAAATCTAAAAACAAATTTGTAAAACTGGATAACTACAGTAAGCAGCCTACACTAGTACACAATTAATGCAGTATTGGCATTAGACTTGTATAAACCCTTGCACATCAGCAAACTTATTTAAGTGCCAGGCATACCATAAACATTTCCACCTTTGAGCCTGCATTGGGCAGTCGGACGGGAGGTGGTCGGTGCTGGGCCTTTTCACCAAGTTCATGTCGCATTTACCATTTCCCAGGTATTGATGTGCCACACTCGTACCAGCGAACATAGTTAATGTGAGTCTCCCCGCCTATTTTTCCAAATTTGACAGGTTCCTGACGAACTGCCCTGAAAAATCCTGGAACAGACAAGGGAGCGTTGTTTGCACGAAGCTCTCGGACAGCGCCTTCCTTCCATTTCCCCGTGAAGGCCGTGCACGGTTCCATGAGTGGCTAAACCAGGCGCTAAGCTGTTAACCCACCTGCCACAGCCAGCTCTGTTTGCTGCCCGTGCCTGGTCAGCGCACCCAAGACACGCAAAAGCAGGGACGGTGAAGCCTCCCCTCAAGAGCTGCCTCCCCAGCACCCACCCGTGGGTGCGGGCAGGGCGAGCCCAGCGCCCCCTCCTTGCCGCTGCTGGGGGCTCCTCTGAGCAGGAGGCTGTTCCCCCTCGCAAAGCTACAGTGACCACCTCAGCCTCATCCCCGCTGCAGTAGCCTTAACGCTCCACTGAACCTAAGTAAAACTTGACGCTTGGGGTTATGTCACGCTATCTCCCCGTCCCCGAGTGACGGCTCCCGCTTGAAATCTGCTCTGTGTGACAATACGCATGCTTCCCATTCAAACGATCAGCGTTAAGTTAAAAAGTGAGCCATTAGTGCTGAAGCCAACCTGCTCGTCAGAGATGTACATGTGGCTAAAGCATGCACGTGCGCGCGCACACACAAAAAAAATACTGTTCTGCAACTAGTACGCCACAGCAGTCATCATGCCCTCCCCGTGCTTCAGGTCAAATACACATAGTTAATGCTGGTTTGAACAGAACTCGGCTCGCTGCAGCCAGAGAGGAACTGAGCAGCAATGGGCAACCTGTCTGTTCTTTCCTCTGTTTGGTTCATTTAGTAGAAATACAAGCTACAGAAAAGGTGGGGGCTTTTTTTTTTTATTATTGTTTGTTTTGTTGGGGATGTTTTCTGGTTTTTTGGTTTTTTCCTAAAAATGAATGTAGCTCATGAATCCACTCTAAATCCAGTTGCTGAAAACAAACTGATCTTAAATATCTTTTAAGCTGGGGTAGCAAGCTTTTTATGTAAAATGGGTTGGGTTGGGTTTTTTATTTTATCAAATGCTTTTAAAAAAGTTAATCTGGTACAACTGAGAGGCCTGCTGTCCTGGCAATGCCAAATTGCATTCAGACAATCCCTTACGCAAACAAAATACCTTTACAAATGGGCAACACTTGACTGGGAAAGGAAAAGCAAAGCGCTCTTTCTTTAAAAAAAGAAAAGAAAAAAACCACATAAGCAAACACCTTTCATATCGTTCACCTGCTTTTGTTTTTGGAAAAAACTTGGGAAAGGTTTAGGCACTTCACTTTAATCTCCCACGTCTACCTCAATGCACTTCTGTACTGCTGGAAGATGTATAAAAGAAGCACTACAGCCAGGAAGGTTTGGTCAACACGCTGATACTGTACTGAAAACCATTTTGATATTTTTCTCAGTAACATATTCCACGACACACCCAGCATGCATGTGTATATCGATACAACCTGCGTTCTTGCCCCCCAAGGGAATGGAATACCTCGCACTGGCACTGCTGCAGACAAGCGAGGCAGGAGTTCGGCTGACAGAAGTACAATTTTCTTATGCTCGAGCCTCAGCAACATGTGAAAACCAGCCAGGCAGGTCACAGCTGCGTTGAGGACATCCAGTCCCATGCCCACTTAGACCAGACTGGAATTTTAGGCACCCGGTTCAAATGAGTGCACACAGAATTACTGCAGCATGAATTATATTTTCCAGTAATAACTTTTTAGTTTCTCATTAGCACTAAACAAAGCTGTTTAATGCCCAACTGATGATTTACTGCCCTTTAAATCAACCTTGCTAGTTTGAACATAACACTTCATGCCTCTCTGCAAACTCAAATTTGTGGTTGGGTTTAAATATGCAACACCAACTGTGAATAACCTGCTGGAATGTTTTAAACGGGAGAGAGGCTGTTTACTACCTAACAGAACCTGAGTCATAACCTCCTTTTAATAAGTCATTGCTCATCTTCAAAAACTTCTCGACCCTCTTTTGCCTGCAAAGCCGGCAGCCCCTTTCCATCGCCCACCCCAGCAGTGGGCGCTGAATCCCCCGGCAGGAAAAAGAAACACGCGAACAAAGGAACTGCCAAGGTTTGCCACAGGGACGGGCGTAAGGAATTACCGTCTTTGACCGGTAGGTCGTCTTGCTGTCCTGTCCTTCCGTCTAAGAATGAGTCTACAAATTGGCAGTGATCTTCTCCATGGCCTCTCTGGTCTCCTATGTTATAAAATTTTCCTGAAAGCAAAGAAGCAACAAAGTTGAAAATCCATATCCCGTTTAGTGAGGGCTATTTCCAAAAACCACCAGAGGCAATGGGCTGTGCGCTTCGCTCTGTGGGGAAGCCAAGGTGAATGCTACGATTCTTTTCCTCTCAGGATCCGTAGCTGTGATTTGAACGTTATGAGCATACTCCAAGTACAGCGCTCATGGCTGTAGACGAAAGTGCCCCGTTCCTGGCCAAAATCTACGCCTGAACGTGTTTTTTTCCCTCCTTCCGTTTCATACAGTAAGTGAAATTCTGTTATTACCTAGAACCTCATCCTGACTGCATCACAAATGAGGTAAGTTTTGCTAGTGATCTGAACGGAAGGCAGGTTTGGTTCCCTGCCAGGAAGCCCCCAGTATCTTCAAAGATGTTTTGACAGACCAGCTCATAACACAGCCAAGGCCCGTGTTATAAATCAGCATATTTTTACAACATGTATGTGCAAGTGATGTCCTTTAACAAACAGATGACCTCTATATAGTAACTGCTTATCCAGAGCATGAAGTGTGCCTGTGTATTTATTCGCAGCGTTGCTTAACAGGACACTTTATGGCAACTGAGCAGAAAACAAGGTCTCAAGTGCCCCATGCAGCGTGTGCTGACATTACGGGCTGTGCTTTTCCTGTTAACAAGAGGACTCACAGTGAAGGAGTTTTGACAGAGAGATGTTTTTACTTACTGATTTAATTTGCAAGACATTAGTAAAATTCAGGTCAGAAAACTGAGGAAAGCATGCTACATTCTCTTCCCAAGCCTTGGCAGGAAACATTTTTAGATCAACTTACTGTTTTTTCGAAACTCCTTTCACAGCACTTGTTCTTAATGTGGTTAACATTTGGTTGTGAGGTTGAAAGGAAAGGTGAGAGCATCTAGAAATAGGCCGAGTACTCACTCAGGTATAAGCTAAGCAGAAAGTCCAGTTACTCGGTAGATGTTGGCTGTCCTGTACCCTTGAAGCTGTGCCAGTCTGGCCATTGGAGAGATGGTGAGGTGGCTTATAATACTGCTCCCTAAAGTGCAATTAATAAAAGAGCAGCCTACCAATAATCTCTTTCTCATCTTTTTGTGATCTGATCAATATTTTGCCAAAAATTCTCACCTCCAGTTGATGGTCTCTGTGCATGCAGTTCTTCTCTAGCTTTAGAAAATTATTTATTACTATCTAGTTTTGGCTGCAGGCATGTTTTTTTCCATAGGAGAACTGGTCAGAGGGAGTTCCTCTCAGCAATTTTTTGGTCTGAAATTAAGAACATTCAGGCTGCCCAAAACGGCGTTTTTTTTTCCATGGCTGTTGAAGGTCATGCTTAGAATTTATTTTTTTCCTCCCCTCAATAAATACTTTTTTTTTTAGGTGGCCTGCTTTTCTGGAATGCCTACAGTGACTGCTCTGGAGGACTGTTAAATGAGGTCAGCAGTAGATGCTGGTTTATAGAACAGTCCTGGCATGTGTAACATAGATCAGTTTTTCTTCATGAGAGACAGAATAAACCAGATATTTTTATGGCTAACACAAGAACAGAAACCTTCAGATACACACATAATCTTCTGGCCCACAGTGTAACCTATGTATAATTCAAACAATTGCTATACACAAATCAGCAGCGTTCTCAGTGACTATTAAATTCTTACTGCCCAATTCCTTCCATAATAAAGGAACACACTTAAAAACATTTAGCTAACAAATGATTAGATTAATCTTTCTCTTTTGGGGATAGCAATTCTAGCATAAAGTAATTTTTTTGTTTTTCCCCCCAGTGTTCCCTTAGGGGTGGTCTTAAGAAAATTAGATACCATCTTTGTTTTATACATTGCGAATTCTGCAACACTAGAAGTAAAATTTCACGCTAAAAACCAGCACGCAAAGATATGGCTGTTGGCTGCCTTAGACAACAGCATTTGTACAATGCACCCACATTTCAAGATCATTACGCTGCTTAGACAGCAAAGCTTCGGAAGGTATTTTCAGCGTAAGGTGGAACTCAGACCTCAGTGCAGCCCTTCACTACCAGCACGCGTTGCCCAGCTGGCCGGCGCTAGCAGATACACTTCCACCGGCCTCGGGGGCACGATGAGACAAGGTGTGACAGTGAAACACATCAGAACAGAATTTGGCTTCACATTGGAAACTTTCTCACCTGCCTATAGAGGCCTGTGCCATGACAGCCTCACTTAGGAAATGGGGGAAAAGCAGCTTTTCTTCTACATAAATATTGCAATTGTTTCAAATATTGTGACAACCGGTCAACGCTGGTTGTAACAATCCAAGCGCAAGAACCAGGCTTAGCAAGTATAATGAATACAACGTGGCTACCATCGCCTTTCTCCAGCCAAGTTAAATTGCTACCCTTCCAGCAAGAACAAAAGCAATCTCATGCAAATAGGAAAATGGGCTCCTGATATATTAAACTTTTCTTCAAAGATTGAAGGAGCTATCACTGCAGTGTTAATTCACTTGATTTAGGGCTGCAGTCTAGTCCTGCTAGATTAGCACTGCTATTTCCTCTGCTGGCTGGTTTTGTGATACACTATGCCTCATTGCCAGTGTTTGTCATTTGATCGCAGCTGGTTAGTACAGCAACAGTTGAATGAATGATACCTCTGTTCAAAATAGTCCCTTCTATTCACATAATCGCCAAGATGTTATTTACGTATGAGATATTGTACTTACTATTAACAACAGGGCCTTCCTTCCTTGTCTGCTCATGGGAGAATGGTGCCGGGTGCAAGGCTGGGCAGCTTAAAATTATATCGGCATGGGCTACCCTACACTCCCCTGCTCTTTTCTCTCCATGTTCCTACATGCAGAGACCAGAGCCTTGCTCCTGTGAGGTGCTGAGCTCTGTGATGGGGCAGCTTTGGGTTACAAAAAGTTGATTCTTTCAGCCACAGTTTCTCCTAGTTAATTCAATCCAACGTGATGAACATACTGCCTAAACTTGCGCTCAAAAGACACTTCCCATACACAGTTGTATTACGCCCTCGGTGCTCTGGGTGCCGTACTAATGCCATTGTGACAGAGTTGTCCATGCAGCTCTGATAAAAGACCTCATACAGAAGAAAGCCAGGAGCTTGGGATGGATTGTAAGAAGTTAATGTATTTCTAAATATAGCTTGTACAATCTACGTGAGACACATAAGTTCTGCTTAACTATCAACTAACTGAAAACCCCCTTTTACAGGCTGTTTCCCCAGCTTCCACACAGCATGTGTCACTTGATTCAGGTCTTAAATACATCACACACTAGTGATCTTAAGACACTGAACAAAAAGAAAAAAAAAAAAAACAAACTTGAGAAGATAAGGCCAGGAGGCTGCTGTTAGTAATAAAACATAACAAAAAGAAGGCAGGGAAAAAGAGATTATAAGCAAAAATGGGGAATGTGGAAACAGAACAAAAATGTCAAAGCAGGTGAGTAAAACCTGTTGACTAGTGTTTAAGTCATGTATTTGTAAGCCTCACAGTAACGAAGTAACCAGATGTTTACCAAATGGGATGGGAATGACTGAGTCTAATGTTGGTCCTAATCCTCTAATTAAGAACTAGTCCAGGCTACCCTTTAAATACAAATGTGGCACCTTTAAACTATATGGTATTCGCTGTCAGAGACCTGATCTTTATCAATTTTCTGTGTGACGCCCAGGATACTCACAGGTACTTAAAATCAGATGATCACCACACAGAAGTAACTCTCGAGTCTGAAAATTCAGTATGAAATGCTTCACATCAATGCTTACTGAGCACAAGCAAGTTACTGTTTATGATTAATCTGCCTATGGACTAGACTAAACATACCTGATCACACTTCAGCAGAGCTCATCTTGTTAAACCTCTTAGTTCTGGAACCACGATATCTTTAAGAAGTGTATAACATGGACAACGCTGATGTGAACGTCTCTTACCTGTAAGTGAATCACTGAGGTATATCTTGTATCTCAAAGAATTACACAACTGCACACCTACGAACTTCTTATACCAAGTCCTCTTTACGTATTGTTTCCCTTTGCATTCTGAATAGCCGTCCGAATTGAATGGGATTTCAGTCCAGATAGCATCCTTTCCCACTGCAGGAGAGGAAGAAAGAGGCTGAAGTACGACACTGCATACAAAATTACGTACCACAAATATATTCAAATAAATAGAATTAGAAACCTTGATGGAGCAGAATGCACCATAGCACCAGTCACCTGCATTTTGAACATGAAAGATATTTCAGGGAAGCACCAAAGGGTGCAGATATGATTGATGCAGTTAACTGCTTCTGCTTCTCTGTGTGTGGTACCAGTTTGGAATAAGCTCATTCTAGGCCACTGTTAGGGGGACAATGTCTCTGAGTTGGCAAAACTCTCATTTACAAAGTGTGTGATACAGTCACTGTTTTTCAGTGGGTTCAAGCCAGGACAGTCAACTTGCAGCAAACCGTATGTGATTTAACAAAAAGACACATAAAGATTAAGTGTCATGAATCATGTGGAAAGAGATGGTGTCTCGGCGTTTGTCAATGTGATGTCCATTACAAATGCAAAAAGCAGCCCGATTTGCTTGAGCGATCTCAGCTGTTCTTCAAAAGCTCAGTCCACCTCCCACCAAAGACAGCAAGAGTCTTGTAACTGGCCTAAAGCAGAGCTGGATCAAGCCTTCAAAAGCAGTAAATTTTTCTAAAACACAATGGTAGATAAATATTATCCTCTGAGTTGTGCTCTGTTAACTCACTTAAAAAGTGTGGAGTAGCTTATTCATTTTACAGAGCTTTCTTTTGCTTTAGTGACAAGGCTGAGAAAATATGAGGCTGTCCTTGGCTCATTTGTGTACATTGGTTTGAAGCCATCCCAGCTGCCATGGGAGCACCACATCGTGTTGATTGCGTTCCGCTCAGGTAAACAAGCAGCCTGGCATGAATTCCTCACCAGGGGTATGGGTGGAAGGAGTGAAATCGTGTGTCAATGCTGTTTGATTCCATAACTCATTTAACTGGTGCAGTACCAGCCCCCTCCCCCCCCGCCTCGTAAAATTACACTATCTCATTTCTGAAAAAATTCTTGATCAGAAGACACTATACTATACACAAAAGGCTTACTTGAAATTGGCTCACTCACTCTTGGGTCCGCTGGGGGAAGAAAACAAACATTCAATCAGACACTGTGAAATGAACTTTCCCAATATTTCAATGGAAAAGCATTGGTAAGTGATTTTCTACAGTTGACATAAGCTGTATCTTGTGAAACAGAAAGAGTTTTGGAAGCAAAGTTCACTTTTGTATTAAACTAAATCAAAAGAAATAAATTTCTTACGATGTGGAACTACCGTATCAATGAGCTTTTAAAAATTTTACTTATGGGACAATACCAGTTAAACACAGTTCTATTAAAAACAAGAGTTTAAACCTGTAACCAGCAAAAACCAATTCTACTGCATCTTCTTAAAAATTTCAATTTCAAAACTTAAATAATAAAAAGGACCCCTCTGTAATACTTGCCACACAAAACTTGGCTACGAAAGCCCAAAAGTGAAAAATAGATGTGTGTAGTTAAGAAAAAAGAAAACTGACCGCTTAATTTGTCCAAGCTAAATAGGAGACAGAATGTAAGCCTTGTCATTCATGAAAACTGCACTTGGCATAAACATTTTTTCAGTTTTAACAATCTAGGATTACAAAGAGTGTATTCACAGTTTCTAAATATGTGTGGCATAGTCTGAACTCCTCCCTGACTAATCCCTCGCTCAGCCAAAACTCTCATCCATCAGTGACAGCACTAGATGAGGACTATTATATTATTACACCTGGCTCAAAATGCAGACCGAGAAAGTCCTTTTAAAAAGGCTAAATCCATTTTGTGTTTTATATGGTCCTTAAGTACTATCAAGCAATAAACACTTCTACACAAAAGATGATATCTTGCTTGTATAAAGGCAACAAGTCAACTGTAGTTAGCCTCATGGGGAACTGGAATAGGGAAAGCAAAGGCACTCTCCAATTCTCACCTCCGAGTCAGATAGGACTTAACTTGGGAACCAACCAATGGTCAAAACAGGCTTGTAGGCACCTCTAACAGTTTCACAGGAGAGTAAGCAGGATGGAGGAGGACATACCAGGACATTGACTTTTCCTAACTGCTATTTCTCAATCCTTATTTCAGCCAAAAGACATCACTATTATACAGCAGCCTTATTGAACAGGTAGCAAAAGTGCCTATAAACACACCAGCCCAAAGAAAAACCTTATGTTCTCCATCCAGAAGTCATTAATGAGGATGATAGAAACAAAAAGGTCAAGAATATTAATCTTAGAGGACTGAGTGTTCTCTAAGGATAAAGTTAGTTTAGTTAGTTTCTTCATAATGAACACCAGACAAACTCTCTGTGCTCCTGGTTTTTTCTCCTGCAGTCTGGCCATCTTACATCCTCATACCATATAGCCGTAACCTCAGGCTGACCTTCCAGGCACTACAATAACATGCTCAGTATTAAAAAGCCAATCTGGAGACAGTAAAGAGCAAGACCAAATGCACAAAATGAAGGAAGAGAGCCTTTCATATATCCCAAAAACGTGGATATGAGAGGCACTGTAAATGATGGTTGGACCTTTGGAAGTTCTTACCTGATTCAGTACTGAATGCCACAACATTGCTACTTGGACCTTCACCAAGAGGGTTTCTAGGTTTCACGTGGAATTCGTAACTGGGGAATAAAATAGAAGAGATGAATTTTGCAAACCAACATTCTTTCAGAGTCTGGAGCGAGCAAACTGCCAACACACGCCTTGGTGCTACTCGCCTCCTGGAGAAGAACAAAAAGGCCTCATTTCTTGCTCTGGAAATACTGAGACATTCTTTGTCCTAACTGTATAAGGCCTCTCTAAACACATAATTTAGCAGTCCTTTTGATAATTCTTTGCACACGTACTATTAATGTTTGATTTAATGCACCACTGGTTTAAGTCTGTCTCCTCTCACACATGCAGTTTCAGTTCTGGCAAAGGGAGCAGTTCAGGTGAGGTGAGAAGCAATCTGATAAGCAGTGATTGAGTAAAGCACATTGCTATTTATTTGCACATTTTTCATTCATAAGAACACAAACCTCCAGTTCAGTGCCTCTCAGGCCCTTCAACAATGACAGACAGGGCCTGTGGTGAAACACAGGGCATGTCTTCTAGGACAGGAGCCCAGCCAAGGCAAAGATCCAATTGCTTGAATATATGTTAATAGGAAATATATGAAGTAATGAAAAGGTACTGTGTAGCATCTCTTTCTTATCTTTTCACAGTGATGTCGCACAACACCAGTCGGTACTGTAGTTATCTCATGATCTCTTTTCATCACAGCTGTGCTGGGAACCAAACGCAGTGCTATGAGAACAGGACAAGATTGAAGAAAAACATCCAAGCCAGGATCCTCTGCCTAAGCCTCTCCCACCCCTCAATACTTGATTAACAGTGATGGACAGGCAAGACAAGGTGGTTTCTAACTCTGCAGCTCAGCTGAAACTTACATTTTCAATGAGAAGCTCTAGGTAAACAGCTACTGAAAGACAGCTGCAAACCTAAAAACATTACACAGAAAACACCAGACGGATGAGGATGAGGCAGGAAAGACAGTTACAAGGGTGGAAACCGGACACAGCTAAGGTCTTACATCAAGGGCAGAGCTAGAACACTCTGTATTTCCTTCCTCCCAGTACACACTATCCCAGCAAGCTGCTTCTCAGCTTTCCTGGCTCCAGGCTGGCAGCACCTGGGAATTTCTCACTGCTCAGCAACAGCTCAGTGCCTCCCTGTAGGACCTGCATGCCCTCCAAGCCAAAGCACGCTGATGAGTAGCATGCATACACCCAGTCAACAGCACCCTCTTCATGCCTTCCCCATGAGCTATAAGCAATAATCTGTCCCACGCATGCTACCTACGGAGAGACTTTTCATACACTTTGAGTGCATATATGGTGAACCTCTCTTAACACTGAGTGTTTTTTCATCAGCGAGAGAGATCCATAGGACACGAGTCAAAAGGACTGTAGGCCTGGAAAATGGGCCCTAACCTAGAGACCAAACAGAGCAAAATGAGAATCCCAGAAGTGGCTAATTAAACATCCAGCTCTTGACTTGTGAAGGATCACTTACTAATGATAACTTGGTAGCTCGTGACTATAACATAGCATTGTAATGTATTGCTGAAATTGTCTCCAAACAGCAATTTTCTAAAGAAAAAAAACATACCACACTCCGCACAGTTGGAAATTTGTAAACTCCATTTGCAAGTCCCTACAAGAGACAGAATAATTCAATCCAAACCTTGGATTACCTCTCATTGCTTCTTGGCTCCTGCAAAACCTGAACAGCTCGCTAATTAACCTCCGTGGACTAATCATTGCAGTACCAAGCAACTGTTTTCCATCCACAGTACTTCTAAAACAATATTTAACTTTGAAATTGCTTACATAAGCAATTGCCTTTATTTCTAGGGTTTTCTTTTCTTTTTCAAGGAAAATACTTACAAAGATTGGTATGCTGAACAGATGCATTGTGGATAATTCATGGATATTTCTAAGTGAAACATGGGCTTGTTCTGAGCTTTAAAAAGTTTATTTGGAGTAATCTTAACATTTATTCAAGCATGCTGCAAGACCATTTTGAGCAACTCATATTACCCTACTGTAGAAGGGAGACATTAAATAAATAATAAATTAAATAATAAGTTCTAGACACAAAATCATCTTCATGATCAACTTCAAATTGTTTAAACAAATACATGCTTTTAAAAATTGGATCTGAGCAGTTAATATTCACATTGGACACATGTGGTACAGTAACTTTTTTGGTCAAGAAGTATTCTCATCTGGTAGGAAAGGCCTTTATCCAGAGGACGGTAGCAGAGCAGTTGGAGATTCCTTCTGAAGAATCACTGAAGCATAAATGAAGATTTGCTAATATGTTGGGTGTTTTAAAGTAACAGCTAGAAGATAAATTTTGGACAATGTACAAATTAATGCCCATCTAGAGCTAAAAGACTCCAAAGAAGTTTCCCTGCTTCCTTCACAGCAGAAACACCTTATCTAGAGCTAATATTGTCATTTTGATCATTGATTGCTCAACATGGCATCTTCTATTGCTTTACTGGGAGTTTATGGTTTGACCTTATGGATGATAATAATCTGTTTATGTCCCTTTGTATGAAATCAAAAGGGAAACATGAAGAGCACTGCCTAGGATTCCTGACCTAGAGTTTTTTGATTCCATAGGATTGGCTATAAGGAAAGGACAAAAACCTGAGTAGGTGAAATGCTCTTACAGAACTGGACTGGGCAGCCACAGGGACTCGGAAGGTAATGATGTGGGCAGTATGAACTAACGATAAAGATCTACAGTCAGCATATTTGGATCTGCCTGAATACGTAAGGGTTTCACAGATTTTGCAAGCTGGATTTACCTGCCTCTGTCAGGCAGAAAAATCACAAGCTGGACAAGACAGTGGAGGATTCTGAAACAAATTTAAGTATTTTTCTGATTTTTATACAAATATATTGTCCTCAAGGGCTGATATGCCCTACTTTGAGTTGCATCAGGCAACATTCTTCATAGGAAACAGTCCTGTTCCCAAAAAACTTAAGTTGACCAACCTGGGCCCATCAATTCTCTAACTCCATAAAAAGACCAAAACAGGAACTGAAGACTAAATATTTTCCAAGCAGTGTTTTTCAAACTGTGGTCTAGGGACCACTAGGATCTCTGCAAAAGACCAAACCACAGTTGGGAAAATTACGGAAAAATTGAAATAAAGAACTGAAATCCACACACAGAGATTTCAGCTCATGTAAACATATGAACAAAATTAGAGGAAAAGGAAAGTAATAAAGGAATGTCCAAAGTATAGCTTAGTCAGTTAGGAGAGCCTCCTATTAATGATGTTAAAGAGCAAGTTTTTTAAACTAAAATATATACAATTCTACAGTTTTGTGGTAGGTATTTTTACAGGTGCCCAAGCATCACTGGCTCCCTTCCTCTGCCAAATTCAACCCTGAAACAATAGCAGTAGTTGCAACAGTACAAGAACAACAACCAACCACTTTTGGAGATGAAGAGAAGTAACTAGTTGACTGAAAACTAAAAGGGAGAGAAAGGAAAAGTTAGACTGAGCTCACGATTTGATAGAGATTACAGATCTAACTGTAATTTTAAAGCCATGGTGTGGCTCTCTTCATAGAAAACCTTTTAAAATCTCCCTTTTTGTGTGTCAGGTGAAAGATCTGAAAAATAAAAATAAAATTGTGAAAAAAGGGTTCCCTGCTGCAATCTTATGCACTTCTACACAAACCACAAGGGAAGGGGGAAAAAGTGCTTAGAGGTTCAAGAAAGTATGTAGGGCAAAGTTAATAAAGGGAAATAGGAAAGCTGTATAATGATTATCCCATGTCTACCTCTTAGCTAGATTATTAATGAGAAACTGGAGTCTATATTCCATCTTTATATCTGTGTGCCTGTGATGCCAAAAACTCTGCTACCCAATATATGCAGCAATCTAACACGTGTCACACGTCTAACATCTATAAGATTGCTATCCTACAAACTTTGGAGACTAGGCCTCCCAAACTGCATAAGACAATAAAAGTCCTTGTGCACATTAAATGGACTTGACTTGCAGTAACTACTGTGCAGAGCCTATTTTTCCACCATAGGAAATCGCTATTCCACATGGAAGTTTGGCAGACGCAGCTGCTCCTGCATTTTTCAAATCATGCAAATAGAGAAGATTGAAGATTGCAGAACTGAAAATAGGTGAAGAGAGATTTTCACCATAATAGGCGGACTGGAGCAGCTGAGTACAGTCCTGGGACTTCAGGTCAATTGCTGGGGCGATGCTGGTGGTTAGATGACAATTATGCAGGACTGTCTCAATGTATAGAGCTTCTCTGTCTCTGCACAGTGTGCTTGCGTAACAGTGTGATCAGACATAGCAAATAAAACTAGGTTTAAGAGAAGGGAACGAAAAGAGAAAGAAAGAAAATAAAGTGCTGGACTTGTTTGAGAAGTCTTTCTCCTAGTCAAGTTACTTTTGTAATAAAGAGTACAAAAAACTCCAGCATTTTTCTGCTACTTTCTGCATTTTTCTGCATTGCAACTTTCACTTTAGTTCTCATCTCTTGACCCTTGCTGTTAACAAATCTAAGCTCCTTGCATCGGTAGATTTTTTTCCACGTATATGATTAGCACATTTTGGGTGCTAACTGCAATACAAAACAATACTAGATAATGGTAATAACAGCATGAGCACGTAGGTGTGAATTATTGTGTATAAGTGCACAAAAAGCTTATTCAATAGAGGGTTGAAGACTTACTTGGTAAGGCCTTTGAGTAAATTATAGTAACAGTCTCTTTGTTTCATATCTTTTGTAAGACATGAAAAATCTTTTGAAGGAAACCATCTACGCACATTATAAAAACAGTTTGGTACATGCATGTATCCTACACATTTCACGTTTACTTCACAGTTTTGATTGGTTGGGTGGGTGGGGTTTTTGGTTTTTTGGGGGCCTTGGAATTTTTTTTTTTTTTTGTAAACATTCCCTGTTATTTATATTCCTCAGGAGACCTCATGGCTGGAAATATACTTTGCCTTGGGACACAACCTAACCCAAAAGTCCAAAAGAGACCACCCAAAATGTTTCTGAAAAGGAGAAAAGTATATTTG